TATTAGGAAGGTAAGTGTGGAAAAAAAATATGTGTGGCTACTCCAACATAGAAGGCATCAGAGACAACTGAAGATATTTTATTCTTTTTTTGTTACTTATGATCAGATATATTTATTTCTTTAAATTTTTTATTATTATATAGGATGTATGAAGAGGTTACAGTTACATATTTTGTTCTTTATCAAGTTATTAAGAATGTGGGCAGGAGACTCACAAGGAATGGACTGATAATGGAATTGACCATCATGAGATACCCTTTTCCTTCAAAGTCAGCTTAGCTAAACACACACACACACACACACACACACACACACACATATTCCTGCTCATAATCAATGCTTGAGTTCACATATCTGCTGGATCAGAAACTCTGAGGAGGCAGGATCTGCATTGTTTACTTTTCCTCCCTAGCTTGTATCACCAAGCCTGGTGCACAAGGTCTTAGTACATGTCTATAGACTGAATGAATCGTTGAACAGCAATACTGAACACTGGATAGTTTTCTAATTAATTCTGACATTCTGCAGATCACTAAAACAAACCTGTGATAATACATGTGTTAATAGGAGAAAAGGAGCCAGGCCCTAGTAGATCAAGTCTGTAATCCTAGCTAATCAGGAGGTTGAGACCAAAAAGGTCATGGTTCAAAGCCCGCCTAGGAAGAAAAGTCTTTGAGACTCTATTTCTAAAATAACCAGAAGAAAGCCAAATTAGTGGCCTGGATCAAATGATAGAATGCCAGCTGAACAAGCACAAAGCTCTGCATTAAAAACCGTAGAACCAGAATAAAGGGGGAGGAGTCTAAGAACTGAAGAATGGTTAGATTAATTTTGTAATTTTTTGATAGTGTGAGGATGAAACCTAGAGCCTGGAGTCTGCCAGGCAAGCTCTCTGCCACTGAGCTATACCCACAGCCTGGCTAGTTTGTTTCTGCCCCCCCACCACCTTGCTCACCAAATGGTCTGAAAATAATTAGAAACTTAAATTATAGCTTTCTTTCTTCCTGCTTCCCATGAAGGACCAAGTGCCCTTCTCTACTAAGAAAGTAATATTTTAAAAATAATGCGTTTGAAGCTTTGTTTGATGAGAATAACTTCTTAGAGCTGTCAAACAATCGAACTGAATGCAACAATCAGCTCAGTAAATTAAAAAAAAATCCAAGTCCCCAAAATAAAAATCACCTAGTGGGGAGTGAGTCAGAGAGGGAAGTGAAGCTATTAGAAAAGTAGTTTCAAGATATGTGTGTACAGTTTATAAGCACTCAGAGTTTCTACAAGATGGCAGGTGAACAGCTGCATGGTGACATTGTGTTCTTATTATCAGACACATAAGACCTTAGACTTGTGTAGAGAGAGAGACTCATCTTACAGAAACGAGGCAGAGTAAGTACAGCGAACTGACCACAGCTGTCTATAAAATAGTCCTTTCTTATTTCGTTTTTTTATTTGTATAAGACCAGGACTCGAACTTGGTATTTGATGCTTTTGCCCACTGACTGGTATTTGACCACCTGAGCCACAACTCCAACTCCCAAACAGTCTTTTCTTATATCAGCAATAACAATAACCATAACAATAATCAGTAATGAAATAATACTTTACTATGAAGAGAAACTGCAGCCAGGCATGGTAGCACATATGTTAAATTCCAGCATTTAGGATGCTAAAGCAGAAATATTTCTTTCTTTTTTGGGGGGGGGTCTGGTCCTGAGGCCTGAACTTTGGGCCTGGGCACTGTCCCTCAGCTCTTCAGCTCAAGGCTAGCACTCTACCACTTGAGCCACAGCGCCACTTCTGGATTTTTTTCTTTTTGCTTATGTGGTGCTGAGGAATAGAACCCAGGGCCTCATGCCTGCAAGGCAAGCGCTCTACCACTGAGCCACCTTCCCAACCCAGCAGAAATATTTCAAGGTCTATCTTCCTTCATTTCTTTTCCTTCCTTCCTTCTTTTCTTCCTTCCTTCCTTCTTTTCTTCCTTCCTTCCTTCCTTCCCTCCCTCCTTCCTTCCTTCCTCTCCTTTTTTCTCTCTTTCTTCTTTGTCTCTCTCTCTTTATTCTTTCTTTCACTGAGCTTGAACTGAGGGTTTGGAACTTGCTAGGTAGGTGCTCTACCAACTGAGCCAGTCTACCAGCCTTTATTGTGTTGTTATAATGAATACAAAGCATACCTAAAACTAAAAGTGTGTTTGAAGAAGAGTTAAAAACTTTCTATATGATGACATAAGTAAAATTTCCACCCTCCAAAATCACCTCTTACTGAAGTACCCAGGAACCTTTAACCTGGATCAGATTTGGTCTTTCCTTTTTCCAATAAATGTCCTCAGTGGCAAGGAAAGCCTCCCACATTAGCTTCTGGTTCTTATTTTATTCATGGCTCTAAAATTATGCACAGTGCTATTTTTTTCGTAATAGCGACAAGCCAGGATGACATGGCAGAATGTTTTCCTTAAAGCAATACTGAGGCACATCTGTTCAAGGCACTCAGTTATCATTTAGCAGGAAGGAGATACTAAAAGTCATTGTATGTATAGGACTACACGATTCCCTTTACCACTAAAAGTATTATATTTCTTTTCTTTTTAGTCTCTCTCATGGCAGCTGATAAGGTGATCTTTTTTTGGTATAGGGACTGGGACTTGAACTCAAGGCCTTGTGTTTTTGCTTGGCTTTTTGCTCAAGGCAGAAGCTCTACCACTGATTTTCTCGTGGTTAATTGAAGATAAGAGACTCATGGGCCTTCCTGCCCAGGCTGGCCTTGAACTGCAAATCCTCAGATCTCAGCTTCTTGAGTAGCCATAATTGTGAGCATGAGCCACCAGTGCCTGGTTACAGTGATCATTTTATGAAGCTTATGAAAATTAAGAATAATAACCAGAAAAACGGTCATGTGTCATATGGGTCTTCCATTTACTGAGGATTAGAGAAATAAAAAGAGGACAGGAAAGAGTGAAATATATTTCAAGTTTATGTTTTCACTCAAGTCAGTCGCTTTACCACTTGAGCCGTACCTCTATTTCCTAAGTTATTTTAAAATAATAATCTGACACTAGTTCACCAGCTTGCCATCATTTTAGACAAAACTTAGTTTGAAACTTGGGAAAAATTTTGCCATCCATCTGTCTCTGAGCAAGGAGATCTAGAGACTGAACTAGCGATTCACAAGTATATTTGATGGTATATTGTTTCACGTCAGAGAAAAAAATCATGCTTATAGTAAAAATGAAAGCAAGCAAAACTCAAATTAGCATGGTTTGTGGGAAATGACTTGGAAAGTCCTCCTTTAAAAAGACCACAAAGTAAATGTAGGTAGCCTATTATTAGCATTTATTAAATGCAATTTATTTGTTTATTTGTGTTCACCATTGCTGCAAAACAGATTACCCCAAAGCTTCGTGACTGTAAACAACATGCATTTGTGATCTCTGTGTCTGTGCACTGGGGATCTTAGAGTGGCTTGGCTGGGAGCCTCTGGCTCAGCGTTTCTCACGAGCTGCCACCGCACTGTGGACTGGAGTTACAAACTCACGTACCTGAACAGTGCGAAGATGCTGGCATGCTTCAGAAGAATCATCGCCAGGTCTGATCATGTGGGCTTTCCACAAGACTTCCAGGAGACGTGGAAGCTGGCTTATCCAAGACTGAGTAACACACAAAGAGTACCAGGCAGCAGCCAAAGAAGGGACTCCTACCCCATGGTCTCCATTCATTAGGGAGGCCTCAGGGAGCCCAAGTTCAAAGGGAGGGCCAACACACGATATCAGGAAGAGGAATTGTTGGAACTATCTTTTTTGTTTGTTTGTTTGTTTTGGTGCTGATACAAAGGCTTGATCTCAGGATCTAGGTGCCGTCCCTTTGCTTTTCTGCTTTATAAGGATGGTGCTCTACTACTTGAGCCACAGGTCCACTTCCACTTTTTACTGGCTAATTAGAAATAAGAAAAAAAAGAAATTAAAAATAAAAATGAGAAATAGTCTCATGGATTTTCCTATGGAGGCTGGCTTTGAACTGCAGCACTCAGATCTCAGCCTCCTGAGCAACTAGGATTCCTGGCATGAGTTACTAGCACTCAGCTTGCATCGACTAACTTGAAATCTGCCTATTGTACTTTGTTCATTGTAAATGTTAAGATTTTTCCAACAGAACCAACGTTCTCGTGGTTACATTTCAAAATGTTCCAGAGGATGTGGAGTAAGCAATTTCCTCATGGCTGTGTCCCAGTTTTCTCCTTGTGCAAGTTGCCACCATTTTCCTTTGTGTCCCTTCAGAGACATTCTGTCAAGCATGGTGTTGGAAGAGTAGGAGTCTACATAGAATGCAAGCAGAAAACCACTTTAATTCCCCCTCCCCCTGTGCCAGTTCCAACCTGCTGGGCAGAGATAAATCTCCTCAACCCCGTAGATAAAATCTGAGGTGAGGACCAATGCTTTTTATCTCTCTGTCAGATGATGAGCCCGCTGGTCACGTTTAGTCATTTTATAGTTTCATTTTATAGCTTATATAGTTTCATTTTAGAAATGAGATCCCTGGTCTTGGGTAACACATACTCAAAACTCGAGAACTTTAAAGTGAAGGCTTCTCCTGTTCCCAACCGGACCCACTTAGGCTGGAAGCCACCTGCCCCCAGCAGGTGGAGGCCTCCTGGTCTTCTCTCCATTTTCCCCTTGATCTTCTACCTCCTCTGTATCTTAAACTTTTCTTCTCCATCATGGCTGGAGGAGATAAATCGAGGAAAGGGATGAAGAAATGTCTGCTTCTTCAGAGATTTCCTCACAGGAACCTTTGCCTGTAGCTTCCTCTTCCAAGGGCAACTTTCCAGCCCCTGATGATTAGGTCACTTCTGCCCTCACAGGAAGTGAGGCAAGTTCCCCAAGACAGATCCAGAAAGGCCAGCTTTCCCTCCCTCCTGCCCTCCATCTGTCCTGGGAAACTCTGACATCCCTTGATAACATCTTAGACTCTGGAAAACGAGTGATGACTGTTCTTGTTCCTTGAGGACCTGCTTTAACTTCTCAGATTGTCTATCTCAATTCTTTTAGGAATCATTATATCCTGGGGAGAAGGAGTGCTCAATGGATCATTCCAGGAATTAAAATCCACAAGACAAGATGGTTCTACTGGTTGAGCAAATGCCTGTGTCCTATGGCTAGGAAGGGAGGGCGTTTTCTTGAGCAGGGCACTTTCCACGAGCTGAGACACCTTTGAAGATAAAACAATCACAGGAATTAAGTCTACAGATTCTTTCAATAGTCCTCCTTGAGCACAGGCAGCCAGGCTAAGGTAATTTCAAATGTGGAGAATCTATATTCAGGTGGGGTCACGACTCGGTAAGAGGAGAGCAAGAGTCTGGCTAGGTGATTTGGGCAAAGGCCCCGTCCCTAGAGGTTCTACATCCCTTACCATGGTCCTGTGTGCAGACCCTAGACATCACATGACCATGGCCTCAAGCAGCTGAGCTTGAGGGCCCTTGGGTATCACATCATGATCTTCTGTCCCTAAAAGACTTACACTTGAAATGTGTACTGATTAGACTCCAGAGGTGAGTTATGGGGCACCCAATCAGAATGGCTGTAGGACACTTGGAAAGCTCTGTGTAGGCTCTGATTGGATCTGGGGATTGATAGGGCCCCAGGCGGTCCAATGATCTTAAGAGTCTCATATCTTTCCTCCAGAGACACCTTATTAATCCCTGCACAACACGCCTTCCCTTAGACTCCTGTCTAAGGGGAGCTCAGCTTATCTTTTTTCCCTCTATAAATCTTTTCCATTTTACATCTCTCTCTTTGTCTGTGGATTCATTCTGTGAGCACACAGAGATGAAGGATCTAGGAGTTACCATATCACTCGGATACAGTAAGCTCTGCTCTTCCCACAACTGCGGATCAAATCCAGGCCTTGTACACATCACACAAGAGCTGTACCCCTTGAGCCATGTACTGAGCTCGTTTGTTTTTTATTTTGGTTTTGAGATGGCATCTCCCCACCTTTACCAGGCGGGGAGATGCCGTTTCGTTAAGTGATAACTATTCTCTTGCCTCTGCCTCCAGAATAGTTGGGATTAGAGACATGTGCCACTACGCTTGGCATTGTGGGCTTCTATTAGAGTAAAAGTGTTTACAATGGTGGGACTGGCTTTCCAATTTCCCTACCTGGTTCTGCTGTAGTTCATCTGCCCTTGTGGTGATTTTACCCTAGGTTCATTCTGCCCACCCCATGCCCTGAGTGTGTCTGTAGGCATCTTTCTTCTTGCCCATTCTTGCTATAAGCAGGTCTTGCCACCCATCTCCAGCTTGGAGATTGGAGACCTTGCTAGCTTATCCAGCCATGAACCTCTGCCTGTTCCAGCGATGAATTCCTGCTTGTTCACCATCTGGAACTTCCACGTCTGATATTTCAGTTCCCAAGTAACCTGTGCCTGTCCTGTTTGATTGATGACTGCCATCAGCATACCTCCCCTCCTCCCCTCCCCCAGCATCTCTGGGGACTCTGCCCATCATCCTGGCAGATGGTACCTGGACTGTAATTGCTCAGTTGGGCTTCCTGAAGGTGAGTACTATCAGAGGAGAGCCTCCAAATGAGCCATAAATTGAGGTCAAAGAATACTCAATTTGAGAAAAAACAAAACAAAACCAACACCCATGAACTGTCCTTGTAATTATGCCATTAGATGTAGCACCCTCATTAAAGACAAATAAATCACTTAAAAATGAACATGGTTGTATTGCTATCAATTTCTTAATATTGACAATTGTGTCACATTTCATAAGATGGGTGAATTCTCTGTACTATATTTGTAACTTTACTGTCTCTAAAATGATTCAAAGATTTAAAAATATAATAAAAGAATACCAATGGAAGCAATAAAGTGTTTACCTTAGAAAGAACTGTTTGTGTGTGCTCACACACCATTACTGGGGCTTGAACTTAGGGCCTAAGCACTATCCTTGAGCTTTTTTGCTCAAGGTTAACACTCTACAAACTTGAGCCAAACCACCACTTCTGGCTTTTTGGTGGTTAATTGGAGATAAAAATCTCACTGACTTTCCTGCCCAGGCTAGGTTTGAACTGCAGTCCTCAGCTTTCAGCCTCCTGAGTAACTAGAATTATACACATGAGCCACTGGGGCCCAGCTAGAAAGAAGTTTTTATCCTAAAGTCCTTTTAGAAAGATAAGAATAGGAGGTTCTGAAATCTTAGTCCTGTCATACACATTTATGGTGTAATTGGTTCCATCTTGCATAAACTATGGGACAAATTAGTTGCTGCTTTCTGGTTTTACTTTTATGAAGGTCATTCCTTTAAAAAATAATTATTGAAGCCGGGCAGCGGTGGTTCACGCCTGTAATCCTAGCTACTCAGGAGGCTGAGATCTGAGAATCATGGTTCAAAGCCAGCCCGGGCAGGAAAGACCTTGAGATTCCTATCTCCAATAAACCACTAGAAAACCGGAAGTAGCGCTGTAGCTCAAGTGGTAGAGCACTAGCCTTGAGCTGAAGAGCTGAGGGACAGCGCCCAGGCCCAGAGTTCAAGCCCCATGACCGACAAAGAATAAAAAATAAATAAATAAATAATTATTGAGCTGGGCACCGGTGGCTCACACCTGTAATCCTAGTTACACAGGAGGCTGAGATCTGAGGATCACGATTCAAAACCAGCCTGGGCAGGAAAAATCCATGAGATTTTTATCTCCAATAAACCACCAGAAAACCAGAAGTGGTGCTGTGGCTCAAGTGGTAGAGTGCTCACCTTGAGCCAAAGAGCTCAAGAACAGCACTCAAGGCCCAGCCCCACAACTGACAAAAAAAAAAAAGGAAAAAAATATTGATCCTTCTTTTGGGCTGGTCCTGGGGCTTGAACTCAAGGCCTGAGCCCTGTCCCTGAGCTTTTATGTTCAAGGCTAGCACTCTATCACTGGAACCACAGCTCTATTTCTGGCTTTTTGGTGATTATTTTTTTTTTGATGATTAATTTTTTTGGTGATTAATTAGCAAGAAAAGGCTCATGGACTTCTTCCCAGGATGGTTTTGAACTTGATCTTCAGATTGCAGTCTTCTGAGTACCTAGGATAACAGGTATGAGCCACTAGCACTGGGAAATAATTAACCTATGATGGGACTTGCATTTGGGGGGGATACATCAGTCCACTAAAGGGATAGAGGGCCCTATCTCCTGGTGCTTATGGTCTAATGGAGGTTGGGAGAAAACAACAATAAATAATGAACACTAAATACACAGCTGACACAGATGGTTGAAGGCAATAGTGTTATGTGGGAAAAGGAAGAGACACCAAGAATATGTATGAGGAATGGACAAGCTTCAGTGAAAAATATTTAAGTAAAGTTGGAGGTAAGGAAGCCAAGAACGGATTCACTGGGGGCAAGGTGGGGGGGGGGTGAGTATTCCAGAAAGAAAGAAGAGCCAGTGTGGAAAGACTGGGCCCAGAGCATGTCTGAAGCATTTGAGCAGCCAGGCTGAGTAAGTGACGGCAGAGATATTGAAGCAGACAAAGGAGAAGGTGAGGTCAGAAGGCCAGAACAATGGTGGGTAGTGAAGAACACGGATGGTAGAGGACTTTAGCTCTGAAGAAAATGGAAGCCAGGTACCAGTGGCTCACCTCTGTAATCCTAACTACTCAGGAGGCTGAGACTGAAAAGCCCAGGTCAAAGCCTATCTGGGCAGGCAAATCTGAGAGATGCTTATCTCCAATTACCTAGCAAAAAGTTGGGAGTGGCCAGGTACGGTGGCTCTCGCCTGTAATCCTAGCTACTCAGGAGGCTGAGATCTGAGGACTGCAGTTCAAAGCCAGCCCAAGCAGGAAAGCCTGTGATATTCTTATCTCCAATTGACCACCACGAAACTCGAAGTGGTGTTGTGGCTCTCAAGTGGTAGAGCACTGGCTTTGAGCTGAAGAGCTCAGGGACAATACCCTACCCCAGAGTTCAAGCCCCATGACCGACAAAACGTGGTTCAGGTGATAGCATGCCAGCTCTGGGTGAGAAAAAAAGCTAAGTTAGTGTGTGAAGTCCTAAGTTCAAGGCCCCAAACCAGCAAAAATAAATGAATAAATAAATGTTTTTAAGCAGGAAATGGGGAGCTGTTGCAGAGTTTTGAGAGCAGAGTGACTTGATCTGCCTTATGTGGAAAAAGGAGCACTTATTATTATTTTTTTCCCTGTTTTTGTGAATACGCTATGGTGGGCAAGAACAGAGGCGAGGAGAGCATCAGGAGGTGCACCCAGGACTCCAAGACAGCTGATGGTGGCTTTCTCCAGGGGACAGCAGCGGGGTGGGAGGAAGGGAGGGACTGGGGGCAGCTGGCTCCAGCGCACAAGAGACAATGATCACATTTTGGGAAGTTGGCAAGCCAATTGTGAAACATGCCGTCATGAAAACGTAAATATACTCACAATTAAACTAATTCTATTGGCAATGAAAGTAATACTAAAATGTACATCACTTTTTAGTCCTTTGTACCCAACTTAACATTATTATTATTATTTATGATTATCCATGCCCTTCAGGTTATTTGCATCTGAGACATGATATACCTAATGGGAGAGTAACTTGTGCTCTTCCCATGCCTTTATCAGTAGCATTAGGGGGTTATCAGTTAGAAGTATTCGATGTCATAGACACTGGCAAATGCTATTCATTAGGGTTCTTGTTTTTACCTCACTCCCTCAGCCCCTGCTAGTACTAGAATTTGAACTCAGGGCATCACACTTGCTCAGCTTGTTTGCTCAGCTGGCTTTCTACCACTTGAACCATGCCTCCAGTCTAGCATTTTCATAGTTATTTTGGAGATGGAGTCTCACAAACTTCACTGCCTGGCCTGGCTTTGACTCTCAGTCCTCCAATTCTCAGCCTCCTGAGCAGCTCCATGTACAGGCGTGACCACTGGCCCTGGGCTATTGTCAGAGTGACCTAATTTGTGAATATTTACCAGCACACCTGTGGTTATTGCCCAACCAAGGACCATGGACTCTCCTACCACCCAGAAGCCCTTGTTTCTTCTATTGTATCCCTAGTTTACAGTCACACTAGGAGACAAGCTAACAAAGATGCTTCAAAAGTATCATTTCTGTGATAGCAGCATAAAAGTAACATACTTTTCTTAAGTGTCACACTATGAAGTCACGTGACATCACCATACCTGAGACTGAATCTTGAGTGCTGGGCCTAGCTTCAGGCCCAGAGTGCCTCGAAGATGCTCTTCTGTGAGTAATGGTAAAGTTTCTCCATCGATTGCATGATCTTTAAACACCTGATGATATACAAAAGGTGTGTGTTAGATTTGCCCCAAATGTACTTTTTTCTTTTTCTCCCTCCTCCCCTGACTAGTACTGGGGCTTGAACTCAGGGCCTGAGCGCTGTCCCTTAGCTTTTTTCAGGTTTTCCTACTTGAGCCACAGCGTCACTTCTGACTTTTTGGTGGTTAATTGTAGATAAAGAGTCTCTGGGGATTTTCTGTCCAGGCTGGCTTTGAACCATGATCCTCAGATCTCGGCCTCCTGAGTAGTTAGGATTATAGGCATGAGTCAGTCACTGGTTGCCCGGCTATATTTTTTTAAGTTCTTATTCTTTATATGGCTATGTCAGTGCTGTAGGAAACATTAGGACTGCTAGAGGATGACGTAGACATTTAGGAAACTTGCTGGTTTTAGTTGCTCACTATTCTGTGCCCCAGTGGCTCATTTTTCATAACCTTTGGAGTGGACTATAAGTCTCTGTTTATAGGACTCAATTGTAACCTGGCCCAGTTATTATTTGAGATCTTATTGACTCCTTAAGTTCCCCTAAGGCACTATGGTATATGGTGTATGATAGACAGTAAACATTACTAGATAAATCAACAAATGGAGAAGTACTCTTGAATAAAAGGACATGGCTAAAAGGTGCCATGAATGCCATCTCTCATATGGACAGATGCAGCATCGTTACTGACATCGATGTGGCATGAAAAGAAGAGGGGCTGCTGGGAGCCTAAGGCTCCAGTGTACTGTCCTCCGAGCTACGTGGGAGGCAGAGATTGGGAGGGTCGAGGTGCCAGACTCCGTAGTGAATTCCACGGTGCCCTGCTTTCTTCCCACGGCGGGGGAGGTGCAGGTGCACAGATCTAGGAGAGATGGTAGGACCACAGGGTTGTGCTGTCCAAATTTCACCTGCCCCGCAAGCTTTCCATGTTCACTCGGGGCTTGCTTTCTTTCTATCTTAAGTCTTCCTCGCCCTCCTCAAACTTTGGATCCCAGAGCATTCTGCCTTATTTTCAAGATCAGACAGTTTCCTAATTTACAAAGAAAAGACAAAGGATGAAACCAGTAGACGAGAATTCTTTCAAAGTTTGAACTATAAACCTAAAAACGGACATATTCTCCTACTGTCCTGACTAATGGAAGCAGAGTCGCATCTGTCTGTCATCTAGTATCTTTCTCTTTGTCTAGCAATCAGTTTATTTGTGGTAGTCACTGGGGTTCTGAGCTCTGGGCTTTCCACATGCTAGATGAGTGCTTTACCACTTGAGCCACGCCCCCAGACTTTTTTGGCACAGGATTTTTTTTTCAGGTAAGATCTTGCATTTTCCCCCATGATGGGCCTTGGATTGTAATCCTCCTACCTACTCTACAGAGTAATTGGAATGGCAGATGTGTACCTCCATGCTCAACTTATTGGTTGAGATGAGGTTTTACTAACTTTCCCAGAGATGCCTAGAACTGGGATTATAGGTATGCCATGCTTGGCTTCCCTCTACTATGTTTTGTTGTTGTTGTTGTTGTTGTTATTGTTGCCAGTCCTGGCTCTTGAACTCAGGGTCTTGAGCTCCTTCAGCTTGCTTTCCCATAGCGGACACTTCACTACTTGAAGTGTGGACTTTTCTGCCCAGGCTGGCTTGGAACTGTGATCCTCTGGATCTCATCCTCTTGAATAGCTAGGATTACAGTCATAAGCCACCACTGCTCAGCCTTTTTTTCCCCCCCTTAATTTTCCTTTTGCCCTTATATCTTCTCTTCATATTTTCCCCCATTTTTAATTAACTTATTTCAGTTGTACCACTGGGGTTTATTGTGATATTTCCATATATACATGCTGTATCCTAATCTAATTCACCCACTCCACCACACTCCCAGCCTTTCTTCCACTTTTTTTTTGTCAGTCATGGGGCCTGAACTCTGGGCCTTGGAGCTGTCCCTCAGCTCTTCAGCTCAAGGCTAGCGCTCTACCACTTGAGCCACAGCACCACTTCCTTTCTTCCACTTCTTAATACAATTTCAACAGGTTCCACTGTTATATTTTCATGTCCGTCTCCTGTTTAAAGCAGGATGGGGAAGACTTATTGGTGTTTTTGCTTACCTCACTTGGCTGACTGGTCCATACTTTATTGGTTATGTAAGTGATGAGTTTAACATGTATTGAGCATTAGCATGAGGCACTCTTCAATGCTTAAAAAAATTGTTTGAAAGTGTGTTATTGCAAGGCCCAAGTGGCTCAAGTATGTAACCTTAGCTATTCAGGAAGCTGAGATCTGAAGATCGAGGTTCAAAGCCAATCTGCGGAGGAAAGGTCATGAAACTCTTATCTCCAATTAATCAGTAAAAAGCAAGAACTGTGGCTCAAATGGTAGAGCACCAGCCTTGAGTGAAAAAGCTAAAAACAATGCCCAGGCCCTGAAGTCCAAGCCCTAGAATCAGCACAAAAAAAAAAAAGGGAAAAGGAAAAGAAAAAAGAAAGTAAGCAAAACACATGAATATGTACTATTGATACAAGCTTCAAAAACTTACAAGCCAGGGGCTGGGAAGGTGGCTCAGTGGTAGAATGCTTGCCTTGCATGCATGAGGCCCTGGGTTCGATTCTTCAGCACCACATAAGCAGAAAAAGCTGGAAGTGGCGCTGTGGCTCAAGTGGTAGAGGGCTAGCCTTGAGCTGAAGAGCTGAGGGA